AAATAAATAAATAAATAAATAAGCATTAAAAAAATAATAATAAAATAATAAAATCCAGATGTCATTTTAAAAATAAAATAAAATAAATAAATAAAAATAAAAACAAGACTTAATAGGTAAAAACACAAATATATATCTAGGTTTTGTTCACTGAAATCCTGTTGGCACCTGGCCACAACATGAAAGATAGTAGTTACTCAACATATACTGGTGAGTTAAAAAAAAAAAACAAAAAAAGGAATAAGATGTAAATGGAAAGATGAACCTTTGAAAATTAAAGCATAAGAATGTGATTCCTTCTCTGAGGCCCAACATCTGCAAAATTGAAAAGAGAGTATCCTAGAAAAGGGCCATGCCGGGCTGAGGTCTCTTGTCATTTGTTATCAAATTTTTATTTTATAATTTGTGATTTTGTTATCACGCTCTTTGCCTAAGCAAATGTCACAAAATGTTCCCGTTATATGTTCTAGAAGATTAACAGTTTTAGGTCTGTGATCCATTTTGAGTTTAGCATGAGGTATGTGTCAAGGTTCATTTCTTTCCGTACAGATATCCTTTCGCTAGAGTACTGTATGTTTCAAATACTATCCTTTCAGGGGCACCTGGGTGGCTCAGTTAAGCGTCCAACTTCGGCTCGGGTCATGATCTCATGGTCCGTGAGTTCGAGCCCCGCGTCGGGCTCTGTGCTGGCAGCTCAGAGCCTGGAGCCTGCTTCAGGTTCTGTGTCTCCCTCTCTCTCTGCCCCTCCTGCACTTGTGCTCTGTCTCTCTCTGTCTCTCAAAAATAAATAAATGTTAAAAAAAAAAATACTATCCTTTCAATGCAATTGGATTACCCTGGAACTTTTGTAAAGAAATCGGCTGATCTGATGAGTGAGAGTTTATTTCTGGACTCTGTTATGTTCCTCTGATCTATATCAGGGGTCAACAAATCCTGCCTACTCTGGCTTTTTACATAAAGTGTTATTATAATACAGGCACACTCATCCATTTCTGTATTCTGCCTGGCTGCTTTCAAGCTACAGTATAGCTGAGTAGTTGTTACGGAGACCATGTGAACTGCAAACCTAAAATATTTACTATCTGGCCCTTTAAAGAAAAAGTTTGCTGACCCCTGGTCTATATTTACCCTTATGGGGAAACCACACTCTCTTGACCACTGAAGCTTTACAGTAATTTTTTTTTTTTTTTGTGAGCTCTACACCTAATATGGGGCTTGAACTCATGACCCCAAGATCAAGAGTTGCATGCTCTACCAACTGAGCCAGCCAAGCACCCTCTTCTAGTAAGTCTTTTTTATTTTTATTTTTATTTTTTAACGTTTATTTATTTTTGAGACAGAGAGAGACAGAGCATGAACAGGGGAGGGGCAGAGAGAGAGGGAGACACAGAATCTGAAACAGGCTGCAGGTTCTGAGCGGTCAGCACAGAGCCCGACGTGGGGCTCGAACTCACGGACCGTGAGATCATGACCTGAGCCGAAGTCGGACGCCCAACCGACCAAGCCACCCAGGCGCCCCTCTTCTAGTAAGTCTTGATCAGACAGTGTAAGTCCTCCGGCTTTGGTTTTCTTTTTCAAAATATTTTAGCTATTCTAAGTCCTTCAGCTTTCCATATAAATTTTACAATAGCCTGTCAGGGCACCTGTGTGGCTCAGTCAGCTAAGCGTCCGACTCTTGATTTCAGACCAGTTTACGATCTCATGATTCATGGGATTGAGCCTCACATCGGGCTCTGTGCTGACAGTGCAGAGTCTGCTTGGGATTCTTGGTCTCTCTCTCTCTCTCCTGCTCTCTCTCTCAAAATAAATAAATAAACTTGAAAAATAAACACACAAATAAAAATGGCTTGTCAATTCCTCAAAAGAGACTGTTCAGATTTTGACTGGGACCACATAAATCTAAAGAACAAACCGGGAGGATTGCCGTCTTAACAATATCGAGCCTTCCAAACTAGAACACTATCTTCTCTATTTAGTTCTTCAACTTCCCTTTGCAATATTTTATTGTTTCCAGTCTGTAAGTCTTTCTCCAAATGTATTCCTATGTGAGCTTTTTTAATGTTATTATGAATGGAGTTGACTTTTACATTTTTATTTTCTAGTTACTTGTTGCTGGTATATAGAAATACCATCGATTTTCATATATTGACTATGTACTATGTCCAACTGGCAAGTTTTATTTATTGTAGTAAGTTCTTTTTGGTAGATTCTTAAGGGTTTTTTGTTTTTTTTTTCATTCACAAACAGTGCCATCTACAAATAAAGACAGTTTCACCAAATACAGAATTACTCAAGCTTTCAATTTCTTTAATTTAGTTATTTTATTAGTTGCCAGAAAGGGAGAGTTTAAACTTCCAACTCTGGTTATGGAATTGTATGTTTCTCCTTTTAATTCTGTCAATTTTGCTTCAATTTTGATTTTTCTCTTGAGAATATGTTTTATTTTCTTGGTCTTTTATTTGCAGGCAATTTTGGATTGCTATTTATATGAATGTCATGAATGTGAATTTGTGGAGATACTCAGACTGTTATTGTGATGGTCACTTTTGTGTGCATGCTTGACTGGGTCACTGGGCTTAGATATTTGCCTAAACATAATTCTGGATGTTTCTGTGAAGGTGTTTTTTGGATGAGATTAACATTTAAATGGATGGACTTTAAGCAGATTATCCTCCATAATGTGGGTGGGCCTTATGTAATCAGTTGAAGGTCTTAATAGAACAAAGACTGACTTCCCCTGATGTAAAAGGAATCGATTTCTCTCTCTCACTCCCTCCTCCTCTCTCCCTCTCTTTCACCCCCTGTCCACACACAGACACACATACACATACATACTTTGTTCTGTTTCCCTGGAGAACCCTGACTAATTAATACAGCTGTTTTTCACCAGAGTATTATTTCCTTTGTTTTAGCAGGTGATTTTCTTGGCTAGGCTGGCATGGCAAATCCCACGTCTTGTGCAGTATCTT